TGTTATGTGGATGACGGTTAATGCAAAAGCATGAATTGGGAGTGCTTGCTCTCTTGCCTTGGAAATAGCACCAAGACTATATAATGTCAAGAGATGAGCAGATAAAAATATCTAATTTCTCAATATCAGTGTCTTCAGGCACACACGTGTGTGTGTGTGTGTGTGTGTGTGTGTGCGTGTGTGTGTGTGTGATCACATGCCATCCCATTACATTTACAGCTCCTAGGAAAACTAAATCTAAAAGGAATGAGGAAAAAATATTTCTTGTAGAGAAAGAATCTTCTCTACATAGATTAAAGAAGAATTGGTCTCAGAATATTAAAAAAAAGATTGTTTTTGTTTGCTTTTTCTTTGAATGTGGTTTTGTTTGGCTTTGAGGGTAAGGGAGGGTCAAGAGTTTATTTGTTGTCCTCTAAAAAATACAGAACATTGCTGAATCTGACATATTTGAAATTTTAAGGCTGTTTTGTTTTCTGCCTACTTGAGTTCACTACACCACCCAAGTACTGTTGCTTAAATTCACTGAGACACCTCTGAGTAGTACTAGTCATCCTGATCTTGTCCTGAGGCTTGCTATTTTTTCTGTGTGCATAAGAGGGAAATATTTATAATGCAGTAAAGTGATTATTTTTCTTATATGCAGAAAACATTGATGATCAAAGGATATAAAAAGTGAGAACACGGTAATTAATATCAATTCAAACTGCCCATTACACCACAGATTTGTCTCAAAAAGTCAAATTGTTTGATATTTGCTTTTGCTTTAAAAATCCCAGACCTTTGATCAGAAATCCACTTCCTTAATCCTACTAATAATAACACCTCTCACTGGCACTTAAGGCTTGAAATATAGTGCACTGATTTGCTTCTGAAGTAAAAGAACAGATACCGAACATTTTGTGTACTTACTTTGAGAGATTTTGGAGCAATGATTTTGCTTTTCTGAATTCTTAAAATTAATTTAAATAAAACCTTGAAGAAATGTGACAGTGTGAACTATACTTTAAACATATGTCACAGCAGATAGAGGGGTAGATAAGAAAAAAGCAAGTACTGTATAAAAAAAGGTTAGTGGTAGAATTACAAGGTCACACAGTAAAGTTATTTTAATTTTTAAGTTTGTTTGAAATTTTTTATGATAAAACTCTTAAGATATGTAAGAGATCCACATCTAGACCTGAATTTGTATACTTAAGAAAATGTCATTACAAAATAACACAAGATTGAGTGATCTTGATGGCTAATTGTGTTAGAGAATTTTTATTTTTATTTATTTATTTATTTATTTATTTTGTCTTTTTTGTTTTTATCGGTACCAGGGATCGAACTCACGGCTGCCTGCTTGCAAGGCAGGCGCTTATGCCGCTGAGCTAAACCCCCAGCCCCGAGAATTTTTATTTTTTAAAAACTTGGAAAAAACGTTTTTAAGATTCTTTATAAACTTTTTAAATTATTTATTATCTTGTAGGCCAAGAGCCACCTTGAAGATAAAAACACCACACTATGAGAGACGGCCAGTTAAAGTAAAATTTATGTTGTGCACTGCTGTTTCATTGCCTAACTAGTAAATAACTGGTATATCTATTTACAAAATTAAACTTAGTCTTAAAAATACTAAATATCTAGATTTGTGCAGGTGCTTTAAAGTACAGTTTAATGGCACATATATTTGTTATCTTTTATATCCTCTCACCTAGCAGTACACCTTTTGAACTGCACTTGTGGACTGTAGGTTTTATTTGCTCTTACCTGACCCAAGAACAAAGAGTGAACCCTCGTGCTTCCTCTATTTTACCACAGTATGAACACATTGTGGGGTGGGATGCATGTGTTATGGGGAGGAGGCACTGTAAATGTTTTTTAAAAAGAAAATGAAGGTTTTTTAAATGCTAGATTTAACAAGCCTTTCTGCCAGTGATGCCCTATAATGACATTTACCCTTCAGAAAGTTGATTTCCCACAAACATAAGAAAAATCAGAGATTTTATAATTATCTTTTCAACTGGTCAATTATTTTCTATTTGAAAGTTTCATCCAAGATATGTCCTAGGGCTGGGAATTTAGCTCAGTTCCTGTTGTCTCTTTTCCTTGTTTCTTTGACTCATGCAGCAGTGGTGTTTGTGACTGTGCATTTTGAAAAAAAACAAAGGATGTGGGGTAGCAAAAAGAGATATGGTACCAAGATGTCAAAGAACTGAGACATTTAATAGTACAAGGGAGAGCCAAGAGGAAATGAGGCATGTTAAATGCGATGAACAAAACATTCACTCCACTACCCTACCACAGCTGCCACCAGGGACACGAGCAATAACTACATCATAGATTTCTACATTAAAAACAAAAAGTGTTTTATTCCCAGAAACACAACAAAGAAAGGGTAAAGCCCTAACCTGATCCTTTTTCTGCAAAATAGTCTTTAAATGAATTTTTTCTATGGCAATTTATGGGTCACTTAAGCAATCATATTTTGTTTTCCTTTTTAATTATGAAAGAAATTCACTTTTGTTTCAAAAAGTTCTATGCATAAAGAAAAAGTTATAGTTCATGTATAATCCCTCCTCCCAGAAGATTTTGTATTTGGTATATATTCTTCTAGATTTTTTTTTCTACAATGATATACCACATAATTACAAATTTTAAAAGAAAAACAGTTATTTCTCCAAAGGGTTTATGCTCTTAATCTGATGCTTTATGAATTATCCCTCCTTATTATATGGTGTCTGTGTTTTCACTTTTTTAATAGTAAATGTTTTTAGTACATAATTTTTACATCCCTTGTGGAAAATTGCTGCATCTACATAATACACTCTGATTCCTTTTTTTAACCTCCTTTTCCTTCTTCTTCCTTGATATCATCCTTCTGTTGATTCCTCCCTATTTTTTTTGCATGTTTGCAATACATAATGTTTACATTCTTTATGAGGAGTTGGAGCGTAAAAACTAGTTTCCTCTCCTTAAACTATAAACATGCTTAAGACCTTTATATTAAGAAATGAAAAAAACTATTTTATATAGTCTTTCCCCAAATCCTTTGTCTGTCAGCTACCATTTTTACTCCATCTTTAGCTTTTCATTCAAGCTTCCCTGAGGGATAATAAGTCTTTTCTATCTTCCTTCTCTCTTCCCAACACACTCAGTAATTTAACCTGGCTTTCGTCTTCACCACGTCTATCCCAGTCACTCATAACCGCCAATGTCAAACACAAGTCTCTGGTGAGCCCCTTGTGAAACTCTTGTCACCACGTGACTAGCTACAAGTCTTTTCCCTTTGACTGTACTCTACTGGCTTTCCTTCCATAGCTTCTGACCACTCCTCTTTCTTACCCTTTACTGAGTTCCTCTCTTCTGCTCATTCTGACTGTAGCCCTCACCTCTTGTGTCTCGACATTTACTTCTTTAATAAGCTCATGCACTCTTGTAATTTTAATTAGCCCCACCAATCTATGTGTCTTGCCTTCAGCTCTCTTCATATTATGGATCTATATAGTCATTGGTTGACTGGGTCTTTCCACTTGGATGAGTCTTCCCAAAACACTACATCCTCAAGTACCTTGTCAGCATGTTTTCCTCTTTCCCAATCCTCCACCTTCTCACTGACACGCTATATTCATTTTGTTAAGGAAAGAGTGCAACAGAATTTAGTAATACATCACAAATTTGGCTGGTTCAAAGAGGGAAAAAAATAAACTGTTGCTAATGAGTACAATCCATTCTTTAAAGTTTAAAGTGAAGGGAGAAGACAGAGCATAAGGTCTTTAGGAAAACATGCCAGGAGGAATTCCCTAAGCAAGTTTTCAGGCTGTGGGAAGGAAAGTAGTTGGAGGAGAGATTGAAGTTTGGGAAAAGATGATAGGAATTGAATTCTGAAAACTCTGAGGACAGTAGGATGGCTTTTCCTTCTTGTAGCTATATTATATATTCTGTGTATGACATTTGCTTTAATAAATTTGTGTCTAATACACACCCTCATTGCAATACTGAATAAATAATAATAAACAGTTTTGAAGTATTTCTGTGGCATTTTTAACCTTTACATTTATTTTGACATTTGTAGCTAGGCAAAAATTGCAATTGGGCCTAATTTGTATGATTGCCTAAATCAAGTATTTCTTTCCTCTCAAAATTATATATATTCCATTTCTAGTAAGTGTGAAAAATCCTTAAAATTTAATTCATTTAAAACCAGTGCATTTCATTTATACTCTTAAGTGTTTGATAAACTCATACTCTGAAAGTAAGGTATTACCTCATTCCTTAAGTCTCTATGCCATCAGAATTTTTTTGCTGTTAACCTCCATGCTAAATTTTTCTATTTTTCTACATTTTATATCTAAAGCCAAGACCCAGCACTCCTATACAGTTCTCAGTATAATAACTTATTTAATTCAAATGAATAAACCTACTTTTCTACTTCTGTGGAGGAAAGAAAAAAGGGGCAGGAAGCAGGAGGTGGATGAGATTTAAAAGACAGGCAGAAGCCCATACAGAGAGGAAGTTACTGGGTAGACTCATTCTTAAGAAAACTACAGGTCTAACAATAGTATTTAAAGTTACCAACACTAACAAAGAACTATATGGTTCTCTTTCTGATTAGCCAGAAAACAATTCAGAATAGCATAGGAAAGTGGGAAATACAGAAGTATTTGGGTTTCAGAGATTGGACAGCTATCTTGAACTGAAAACTTCTTACAGAGAGCAAGGCACTGTCAGTGAATAATGACTTTTTTCTCTTTCCCTTCTTGCACCACAAAGTGCTCACCATTCTAGCTCTCTTTCACAGATGCATCCCCCTCACCTGCACTTAGTGAACAATGCATAGAATCAGCCAGGAGCAGGCAGCTTGCTAAAGCTGGGGCAGAGAGGGCTCTAACCTCTGACTCAGTTGAAATCCTCAGCTCCAGTGTCTTTCCAGGGAGGTGGGAGGAGCACAGGAAGTGATTACCCTCTGGCTTCTCCTCCCACAGAAGCCCTACTCCCTCCCACTTGGACAGTACAGAGATCAGCCTTCTTTCTCCTTGTAGTTCAGTTCTTTGCCTAATATGAAAGGCCACGCAGAAGCTCTGGACTTGCTTTCTGTGCTTGTCAAAAGTGCATAGATAGAAGACAGGGCTTCCCGGCTGGGAGGAGGGAGGAGAGCTGAAGATTCCTGCCTGGTCTGGCTGATCTAAACAGTCAAAGTGGGCAGCTGAGTGCTTGAAAGAGGATTATGCTCGCACTAGAAATAAGCAGTAAGTGAGTGACTATTGGCTTAGTGAGGGATTAATTGCCCTGGGGTTATGGGGTAAACTAGAAAATATTGCTTAAATCTAAAGTAAAACTGTAAGACTTGTGGCTCTGTGTTCTGTTGTGTGCTATTTGGAGTCTAGGGGCTTAAGTACAAAAATCAGAGTTCTAAGTGCTCCTCCCACTCTTACAAAATGCCAACTTCTATTTAGTTGGGGATCATAATCTTCTTCCTTGACCTAGCCTCTAACCAGGAAAATTTACTAGTAAATCAGATAACGAGTGGAGATTAGATTCAAAAGGTAGAATTTGATGTTGGCTGAAAGTGAAATTTTGAATTATGTTCTGGGAATGCTGACATTAATTTCTCTATTAGTAGTGATTGCTGGGAAAGTCTGGAGCAGTGGGTTAAACAGAGAAATTTAAGAGCTTTTATGATAAGGAAGCTGCATAGTACATAGGCAAGGGGTTAAATAGAAAATTATAAAATAAATGATAGAGGGGATTTTAAAAAACAGCAGAAGAAGTAGTTAGGAGATATAAAATGCATGGATAGAAATTCATTAGGAAAAGAAATTTTCATTTCAAAGACTTCGGTGCTAGCCAAAAATTTTGCAATGTTTACAAAGTCAAGACAATGATTCAGGAATACTTCAATTATTGTTGTGCATTATTAATACTGTTGCTGGGCAAGATCTGTGGTTCTCTGGTCAGCAAGTTCTGGGCAATGAAGCCACTGCTGCTGGTGCAAAGAATTCTGGGATGTCTGACAGTGAAATGGATGGAAAGACTCACATTCCATCTCTACTTAATGTCCTTTTGTCCAGAAATCGAGTCATGCAAATGAGCTACTTGGTACGTATACAGATCAATATTTTGAAAAGCATTTCTAAATGTTTTGCATTAGAGAATCTCTGGACAATATCTCATGGCAACTAGTGGGCTAAAAGGATCCAAAGCAAAGTGCTAGAAAGAAAGTCAGCTTAACTGAAACCAACCAAGTTCTTTTTGCTTTTCATGAATCCTGAAATGGATTCTCAAATGAGGACAAAGAATAATAATAGAGAGAAACAGTGTGGCCATCTGTTCTGTTCTAAGTGGTACGTTCATTAAAGTATGAATGAGAATTTTTATTTTATTTATGCATACTAATATTTGAAGACTCAGAAATTTCTTTATTACAATAAAAAAAAACACAAAATAGGAGCTGTGTCTGGAGGGGATAAAATATGTAAATTCAGTTTTTGAAGAGTTAGGAAAAACAACAGATCAGAACTGTGTCCCATGGTGTGAAGAAGATTTATATGGTCACTGAAGGATATATCTCTTTCCATAAGAAATCATTCTAAGAAATCATCCCTAAGGAATCATTCTATGCATAGCAGATTCAACATTTTTATTCTCCAAATTCTAGCTTTTGTGGTTAATATCTAAAGCAAGGATTTATTTTTTTAAACTTGGATGGACTACAGCTAACTTGTAGTTATTTTTATTTTTTCTTTGTTTTGGTATGAAGGAGTAATGACATTTCTAGTATTCCCATCAGCTGTTGCACTGGAGGGAAGAAAAGGATTCAGATACATTACCATTCTCCTATAACAGAACTGTAAAATAGTTGCCATGATCAATGTCATTTTCTAGCTTTTCGATTTAAAATTACAGATCTTGCTATGGTAGAGGGAGAAAGATGTGGAGTGGTCATTGGGACCAATAATAATAAAAACAGTAACAACACAGTGCTAGTAGAGTACAGTTTTAAAGATGGCCTGTATTCTTCTAACATTTTACCTACCTAATTTTGAAGTTTATCTTATCTTTTAAAAGTTATAATAGTGAAAATCTGAATAATTTTGAATTGTGTTAACACTCCTCTTATTCTTAAACATAGTTAAGGCACTAAAGCAAGATATTTCATGATCACATCCTTAAGTACAGCATAATTCTAGTTAAAGTTTCAGTCCTTCAAAAAGTACAGTAGAGAAAGAAACTGTTCAAAAGGAAAGAACAAGTGGGGTAGGGGAAAGAAGAAAAGGAAGAAGGGAAAGATTGTATGTGTATAGGTCTACATGTATACATATAGATGTGTATGTGTCTATGTATACACCTACAAGATAAATAACTACTAATTTCTGTTAATTCATTAAAGAGAACAGTTTGTGCTTTTATTGTTTGATCATTTTTATGTCTAAATCTTGTAACTTGAACAACTTCTAAGATAACAAAATGTAATATAATAACCAATGTTAATTTTCCACTATATTTTAAAATTGTACATTGTTTGTATCCTTTTTGTGTTTTGCCTTCTAAAATAAAAAAAACAGCAAATAGAAAAATAATACAGTAGGGTTTTTCGAAGAATTACTTATTTACCTCAAAGTGTTAAATAATCTTTTCTGAAACTATAGAATAAATGAAAAGTGTAAGATTACTGGCAAAAAAATTATTTGGATGGCAAGATCAAAGGGAATAAAGTGAATATGATAAACCGGTAATTTAAAAATGAAGACATCTACTGTACATGAGAGACTGACATAATCATGACTAGTAAACAAGGCTAAAGATTTTTATCTTTTAAATATGTGAAGTAAGAATTAAGACTGTTAATGGAAAGAAACTAAATGATCATTTAAAATTATTCTTTCACAAGAAAAGTAAAGAACAAGGATATGGAAAACTAAGCTGTGATGAAGACCTCGAAATAATTGTTGATCAAAAGGAGGTAAGTGAATGCTTCCATACGTTTCCAATTGTTGCATTGTAGATTTTTACAATCTAAGCCCTTTGAGTGTTCGGCCATTCTTTGACAGCTACCTTAGCCTGCTCTGAGGCCTGCACAGGAAAGATTTTGAGACCAACTAAGTGTCCCCCATAATGCCTACTAACTTCTGATATTCTTTATGTAAGAAGAATAAGAAACAAAGCTAGAATGAGATAAGGAAATCTTTGGAAAATTAAAAGCTCCATTTGATAAAGTCAAAACAACAATGATCATTTGTTTGGCTGGGGAAACGATTTAAATATAACAAGGGAAAATACTACTTTGATAGTGAAAAACTCTACCATTATTGTATCTTGTAAAATAATGAATATGATTTAGAGGGAGGAAAAATCACTGAAAATTTGAGCACTCTAACATGAATCTTGTTCAACTTAGTTTCTCAGATTATCTACAGTAAATTTTACAATGAGTTTGAAAACACAAAGAGGCCATTTAATAGTCTGTAACCCTGCTGAAACCTCGGTTGTTCTGTGGGCCCATCAGGGGAAATGAAAACTGCTTAACAGACCAGAAACAATGACCTAGCAGGTAGTGGACAGTATCCAGCCTATGACACTGAATTGGCACTAGCCCTTAACGTCTTTGTTAATTATCAAGGAGACGAGATAACTGCACAACTATTTCATGGATAAGCGCCGCTGAATGGGAGGATGATGTCAGCTCAGGTGCAGAGAGACTGACAATTCAAAGGGATCTGAGATGTTCAAGGATTAGAAAGAGAGCAGTCAGTAATGCACAGAAACCATCTCATTACATCTGGACAATTCCCTTATGAGCATCATGGTGGCTGCATTAAAAGAACCATTGTAGTTTCTGACAAAAGGGGAAATGACCACTAGAAGGTACTGGCCAGAAATAATTGATTTAGGGACTTGTTTGTCGAGCTTGGAATAATGAAGGCAACTAAAATGGTTTTCTAGGGGAAAACCCGCCAAAATCATGTTCGTGGAGCTGCGTGGAGGCACATGTGGTCTTTTAGGGTTTGCTCAAGTGCTTTCGGGTTTTTCTTGCCTTATGGTTGCTCCTGCTGCTGAGTAAACAGGGTGAGAGTTGTGTGATTAGGCCTTTTACTGCTCAGTGTCTTATCTGAGTGTAGCTTAGCTACTTTATTAACTAAGGAAAGTGATACTGGGCCCCACTTGCTCTGTTTTTTTTTTTCTTTTTTGGTATCGGGGATCGAACTCATGACTTCTCGCTTGCCAGGCAGACACTTATGCCACTGAGCTAAATGTCTGGCCCTCTATTAAACTATTAATTATTATTTTGCCAGATTATTTAGTTGGGGTTTTCAATCTGTATCTTCTGCTGATCCTACCCATACACTGGACCAACCTGGTCAAAAACTAGTAAAATATAAATTTTATGAGAGTATTTTATAAGAACACAAATATATATATAGGTATAGACATAAAATTTCTCTAATTCTCTGTTAAGAAAAAGTTACTTTCATAACATGCAAAAGGTGAATTCTTACTTTTTCCTTTTTGCTGTCTTCCTCCTCAAAGTTTTTACTTTCTTGGTTTTGTTATTGTTTTCATTAAATATTTGCATTTTAACAAAATGTTGGTGTTCAGAAAACTACAAAGTTATATTTGGAGTGGAAAGACCAAGGTAGTCAGGGTTCTTTTTTGTCATGGTAACTTTTAGAAAATTTATGTTGTTATGGAAAAACATATTTTCCTAACTGTTAAGGAAACTTTAAAAAAAAGTTTGACTAGTCATTTCTGTTTTAATTCTGCATTATTTCTACCTTTTTTCTGTTTTGCTTTTTTTCTCTAAATTAAAAAAAAAAAAAAAACCAGCAACTTTCCTTCTTAATCTGGACACAGCACTTTCTTCACTGGATCGAATGATCCGGTTTGTTTAGAGCCATTGTTTGGCCCTAGTTACCAGAGCTCTCCTAGTGATGCTGTACAAGACGGTACCATTTGGCAGTGACCCAACTTTGGGGAGTTTTTCATGTCAAAACATGGTTCACAAAATGAGTAATTGTGAATATGAGTTGGCTTTGGTGGTAGCTGTTGGCAGGGACAGAAGTCCTTCCATATTTGAGAGGATTATTTGATGCTGTTGTAAGTAGATCCTAGACTGAAACAATGGCAGTGTTGATACTTTGAAGTACAATATTTGGGAAAAAACATAATTATTGTTTATGAACCTATAAAAACATTCCTCAGCTTAAGACAGATATATGTATCTACGTGTGCATATACACGTAAAAAAGTGCTTTCCAAAAATGAAATACTGCTTCATTTCAAGATATGAGGTTTTATATGCATGAGATGAATTGAAACATATGTGCACTATCTATGTATCATATAGTTAAAACTTTATAGCTCTACAAATTATTTTGTCAAGAATCTTTATGTTTAATCTTACATCTTTTCAGAAACATGGTTGCAATTTGTTGATCGATATTTAAACAATTGCTAGTAGCTTTTTCAGGAAATGATTTCAAAATAAAATCTAAGGAAGAAAATAATTGGGAAAGCAGTGATGGGCAGCAGTCACCTAATCTCATTAAATCCATCCCTCAGATGCTGTCACTCCACAAATGCTGTGTCAGCTACGCACTGTTTTATCAGTCAGACGATTTGCAAGTCTTGTACTTCCACAGAAAGCCCAGAATCTTCCTTATGTAAGCAAATTAATAACAAAAGCAGCACATGGTAATAAGAAGTTTGTTCTCCTGGCCACTTTCATCCAAGGGCGCAAAAGATGATTCTGGGTTATTTCAACATGGAAAAAAGAATGTATTTCTGAAACATTTAACATTGTTTTGAAAGCCAATATTGTGATGTTGTGTGAAATTTTATTGGCAAAACTTACTTGCAATGCAAATAAAAACATCCCAGAGAATTCTTAAATTTGTACTGAAGTCTTAAAATAATAGGGGCCATATCATGCACTGTTATACATGTATATATACACATAGAGTCATTCATATATATCACATTGGGATCATAGACTGTATTTTCCACAGAAATACCCAGAGTTTTCAAACTTCAAACACAGGAAAGTAATCAAAGAAAATATGCTGAATTAAAATCTCAATACCCTTAAAACTCAGACATTTGACATAGAAATGATATATCTGTAATTAGTAAATATGTATTTGGCTTTCTAAATATTAAAGAAGTAATCTTAGATGCATATTTGAGATCTTGTTAAAACTAAAGTATTCTTTCCTAATTGGAAGAGAATTATTTCTTGTTTAGAAATAATTATTCTTGTTATTTCTCATTTAGAAATACTTCTCATGTGAGCAAGAATTTCCTCCTGAAATTAGAGATTTCAAGGAGGGGGACATGGAAGTAGATAGTCAGGTATCTTTATTAAAGAATTTTAAAAATTAGCCACACTGAATAAATAATAAGTTCCTTCTATTTTAAATTATTTTGCATATTGAACTGAAGGTTTATCGTATGATGGATTCGTACATCTTTTTTCTCAAATTTTTTCAAATTCCAGGTAGACTTTAAAAAGGTAACAAAGACAGACCTAAAACCATAGAATACTATGACTGTGTGAAAGATAGAATACAGATTCAAGCACTGAAAAAATAATTTTAGCAAAGTGCTGTGGGTCCAGTTGGTTACAGAATTCAGAGTTGTATCCTGCAGTACAGTAAGGTGGGGATGCCACATATCAGCCTGTTAAAGAGGAACAAGTGTGCCTGGGTCAGAGGTATTGCTTCGACTGTTCCAGAATCGCCTGGAGGATTCGCTGTAACACAGACAGGGATCTGAGGATTTGCATTTCTTACTTCTCAGCTGGTGCTACTGGATCCAGACCACACATTGAGAGCTGTAGTCAGAGAAATAACTAATGCAGTCATGAAGAAGAAAAAGTGTGTGTGACTCATGACTAATGCTCTTCAAACTGGGCATGGTCTGAAATTCTAAAAACTAGAGTTCAAAGATATCCAATCTAGTGATACTGAAATCAAGAAGACCACAACCATTTACAACCCAAGGCATCTTTACAGACTCAAGATGGTGGTGCCATTGAATTCCATCTGGTAGCCTTGTGATCCCGAACCTGTCTGAGCTCAGTTTCCTTATTTGTTAAAAAATATTTCTTTCTTCCTATCTCCTAGAGTTTATCTCAGATAAGATACAGAAAGCTCCTTTATAAAGTATAAGTAATATGCTATTTTGATTAGCTAGTCAACCTCATCCCACCCCACCCCCCACTCAGTAAGCCAGAACTTTGAGATCTAGAACAATGGATGGTGTGGCCTGGAGTCTCCGATTAGGTACTCAGAACACAGGAAGCCAGCTCTCTCTCCTGATGTCCAGTCTGATGCTCTCCCGGTCACCTCCACAGAACTCTGCACCATTACTCATTGCTCATCATCCCGTAAATGGGCTAAGAAACTGCCTTCCTCAGTGCCCTAATTACACAAAACAACCGTCTGCTGGTAATTACTATAACTAGCCAACATGTATTTATTGAACCCTCATGAGGATAAACTTTTCCACAAACACTACTTAACTATTTACTTCCTTGTTGGCCCCTTGACATTGAAAGGAGAAAATGCCCTTCCAAATAAACACATATAAAATTGGGTTTAAAAGGTGGTTTTCGACAACCACTTACCTTTCCTCTCAGTCTTCTAGAGGAAGGTTTGTGACAGGCATGAGAGAGGCATCATGGGAAGAGACAATGCATGCTTTTCTTAGCCCAAAACCTTCCATGAAAACTTGTAAGAGAAGCTTGTGCAGGAAGCTTTGGACATTAGAACTTCAGAGATCTTTTTCTAAAGAAAAAGAAGAGATAAGCTATTGCTACCTACTATGTCTCCAACAGTACATGAGCATTTGGGTAGGACTTCACTTCTATCCCAGTGGTTATTGTGGGTATCAATCCCAAAAGAAAATCCAACTGAGCATGAAATAAAAATGGAGGAGCAAGAAAAGCAGAGTAACAGAAGAGAC